AAAAGCCCCATCCCTCAGCTGTTTTCCAACTGAAGTGGCAAGGCAACTGCCGCACAGACTGCCCCTTTAAGAAATCTGTTTATCTGCTACTGCTACCACAAAAATCAGTAGATGCTTTTAAAGCTTGTGTTTTGAAACTGATTTCCCAAGTTTTAAGACTGATCTTTTTCAAATTCTTCTCTCAAGGTTCTGAGCTACCCTCTGACTGACGAATGGAGAACCACACATACCCTGACCATGTTCTCCTCCTGGAGGGGTTAAAGGTCACTCAACAGTCCTCGTACCCTGCCTTCATCCTCTTCCTCAGTATCTACATCTTCACAATGGTGGCCAACATCGGACTCATAGTGTTGATCTCCATGGAGAGGAGCCTGCACCAGCCCATGTACATCCTCTTCTGCAACCTGCCTCTTAATGACATAATCGGGGCTACAGCGATGATACCTCGTCTGTTATGGGACATTTTGACTGCAGCGCCTGAGCGATATATCACTTACATAGAGTGTGTCATTCAGGCTTTCTATACTCATGTTTATGCCACGACATCACACACCATTCTCATGATCATGGCCTTTGACAGGTATGTAGCCATCTGCAACCCCCTGCGGTACGTTACCATCATGACAAACAAAATTGTGATCAGGCTTTCTGTGTCTGCCTGGGGGGTGGCCATAGTCTTAGTGGGGATTCTGCTGGGCCTCACCATCCGCCTGTCACGCTGCAGGTCGAACATATTTAACCCTTACTGCGACAACGCCTCCTTATTCAAGCTCTCCTGTGAGAGCGTGTTTATAAATAACATATATGGCTTAACCTTTACTGTTGTGCTGTTTGTCTCGTCCATAGGCAGCATCAGTCTCACCTATCTCAAGATCGCCATTGTGTGTCTGAGCAGTAAAAACAGCTCCTTAAACAGCAAGGCCCTGACAACCTGCAGCACACACTTACTGGTCTACCTCATTGTGCTGGGATGTGGATTCACCATTATTACCCTCCACCGCTTCCCAGCCTATGCAGACCTGCGCAAACTGAGTAGTGTACTGGGTAGTGTGGTCCCTACTTGTCTCAACCCCATAATATATGGTTTACAGACTAAAGAGATTAAACAGAGGATATTTAGAGTGTTTCACAGAGCTAAAGTGGCCACATGATGTGTTAAATCTGACAGGGAAATATATGATATTTCATATGATGAGAAGTGCATTGTATGTATGTGGCATTCATGAAACAAGGGTGGGGTGTCTTCTCAGCCACCACCTGAGGGACACGTAAGAGTTATCTTGAATTGGATCCTAAAATTATTTGAAAATCAAGATTTATTTGATGATATTCCACATTAAAAACATGTTTTAACATTTATAACATACAGCCACCCTGGTATGTGTTAGTACTACTGAAACAAATTCTTCATTCCTGTCATAAAGCAAATCTAAAAGAGAACTAGGAAGAGCTCTATGTGGTTTTCAAATTTATATTCATTTTTAGCTGGTGCAAGGTTTTTGGGGAGTGTTCCATGAATCATTTATAGATTACATTTCCACATGCAAACCATCATACAAGAGTATTACTTTGCACAATAAAAAATACCTCTTGATGGAATAATTGAACGTTTTATTTTAATTTGTGATGCTTACAAAAAAGGCAGAGGCACAAAAACGAAATGTGTGGATACTTTATTTTATAGTCTGCTATTTCCCTGATATTTAGAAAGAACGTTGTCAGATTGTAAGTACACAATAATCACCTAACAATTCCTCTTTTGTTTCTTTGGGATTAATTAAAAACAAGTATAATTACACAACATATAGTACTGTATCTGGTAGTTTGTACAATGCAAATTGCAACTATTGTTATTATTTTTGTGTTCCTTATCAATAAACTATGAAATCAAATGTATACAGTTGTGCAATGTACATCCGAAAACAATCAATCATTGGAAGTAGTGACTTGGCATTATTTTGGAATCTCTGAAAATGATTACACTTTTTAGCCCATACTAAACTATTTTAAAAGTAGAGACACAGGAGAGGAGCTCTTCTTTGGTTTATAGTTAATTCATGAGGTGCTCTTTGATCAAGGGATGAAATACTATAGAAAAAAAAGAAGTTGATGCTGGATAGTAAACAATGCCGGAAAAGCCTTTGGGAAAACAAACTTCAAGAAGTAATCAAGGCACTCTCAATTAGTGTAAAAATGAAAAAGCCTTTATTGTTTTAAGGCTTATACATGGCAAGAATAAAAAACCACTGACGCGTTGCTGCTACAACAGCCTTCATCTGGGTGACAAAGAATATTGGTGGACAAACAGGTGTATATCCCAACTCTTACAGGACGTGATTCAATTCATTACCATATGTAATATATAAAGGGGGGAAAAAATTGGGGGAAAAACACATTCAAAATACAGAGATAAACAAAACAAACATTGCATAACGAGAATGCATAAAATAAAAATACAAACTGTGTACACATGAGTTCATGTTACCAAACTTAAATAAGAATGGAGAACAAAACATTTTAGAACTAAAAATAAACCACATATCTCTTACAGAAAGGGAGAATAATACATTTCCTAATTTAGACCCTGCAATACATTGGCCCTTAATTTAAAGACCCAGAACGTTTCACGTTGTAGGAGGCGTTTGAGACGATCCCTGCGAGAACTAGGAACCACTTCAATGGCCATTGCTTTCAGAGAGTTTGGGCTGCCATGGCCAGCATGTCTGTAATGTTTAGCCATCGGACACTTATCGTTAGCAGTTCTTATAGCATAAGCATGTTCAGACACCCTGTCCTTGAGCCTTCTCTTAGTACGTCCTATGTAAAAGGACCCACATGGGCACTCCAGCCTCTACACCATATACAGTAGGTACTGTTGCAGTTGAAAAACGATTGCGCTTGGTATCCCTGAATGTATTTGTTTTTTCGATATGATGGCAATGATTGCAGCTACAGTGAGGGAAAACAGTATTTGATCCCCTTCTGATTTTGTACGTTTGCCCACTGACAAAGAAATGATCAGTCTATAATTTTAATGGTAGGTTTATTTGAACAGTGAGAGACAGAATAACAACAAAATAATCCATAAAAACGCATGTCAAAATTTTTATAAATTGATTTGCATTTTAATGAGGGAAATAAGTATTTGACCCCCTCTCAATCAGAAAGATTTCTGGCTCCCAGGTGTCTTTTATACAGGTAACGAGCTGAGATTAGGAGCACACTCTTAAAGGGAGTGCTCCTAATCTCTGTTTATTACCTGTATAAAAGACACCTGTCCACAGAAGCAATCAATCAATCCGATTCCAAAGTCTCCACCATGGCCAAGACCAAACAGCTCTCCAAGGATGTCAGGGACAAGATTGTAGACCTACACAAGGCTGGAATGGGCTACAAGACCATCGCCAAGCAGCTTGGTGAGAAGGTGACAACAGTTGGTGCGATTATTCGCAAATGGAAGAAACACAAAAGAACTGTCAATCTCCCTTGGCCTGGGGCTCCATGCAAGATCTCACCTTGTGGAGTTGCAATGATCATGAGAACGGTGAGCAATCAGCCCAGAACTACACGGGAGGATCTTGTCAATGATGTCAAGGCAGCTGGGACCATAGTCACCAAGAAAACAATTGGTAACACACTACGCTGTGAAGGACTGAAATCCTGCAGCGCCTGCAAGGTCCCCCTGTTCAAGAAAGCACATATACATGGCCGTCTGAAGTTTGCCAATGAACATCTGAATGATTCAGAGGAGAACTGGGTGAAAGTGTTGTGGTCAGATGAGACCAAAATCGAGCTCTTTGGCATCAACTCAACTCGCCGTGTTTGGAGGAGGAGGAATGCTGCCTATGACCCCAAGAACACCATCCCCACCGTCAAACATGGAGGTGGAAACATTATGCTTTGGGGGTGTTTTTCTGCTAAGGGGACAGGGCAACTTCCCCGCATCTTCACCGGGCCATGTACCATCAAATCTTGGGTGAGAACCTCCTTCCCTCAGCCAGGGCATTGAAAATGGGTCATGGATGGGTATTCCAGCATGACAATGACCCAAAACACACGGCCAAGGCAACAAAGGAGTGGCTCAAGAAGAAACACATTAAGGTCCTGGAGTGGCCTAGCCAGTCTCCAGACTTTAATCCCATAGAAAATCTGTGGAGGGAGCTGAAGGTTTTACGTCAGCCTCGCAACCTTAATGACTTGGAGAAGATCTGCAAAGAGGAGTGGGACAAAATCCCTCTTCAGATGTGTGCAAACCTGGTGGCCAACTACAAGAAACGTCTGACCTCTGTGATTGCCAACAAGGGTTTTGCCACCAAGTACTAAGTCATGTTTTGCAGAGGGGTCAAATACTTATTTCCCTCATTAAAATGCAAATCAATTTATAACATTTTTGACATGCGTTTTTCTGGATTTTTTTGTTGTTATTCTGTCTCTCACTGTTCACATAAACCTACCATTAAAATTATAGACTGATCATGTCTTTGTCAGTGGGCAAACATACAAAATCAGCAGGGGATCAAATACTTTTTTCCCTCACTGTACCACATGGGAAGTTATTCTCCCTTCCTGTAAGAGATATTTTTTGTTCTCATTTTTTTTGTTTTCTGTATCTCTGTATCTTGAATGTGTTTTTTCCTCAAATCTATTACATATAGTAATGAATTGAGTCACTTCCTGTGAGAGTTGGGATATACACCTGTTTGTCCACCAATATTCTTTATCACCCTGATGAAGGCTGTTGTAGCCGCAACACGTCAGTGGTTTTTTATTCTTGCCATGTAGAAGTCATAAAACAATAAAGGCTTTTGAATTTTTACACTAAATGAGAGTGCCTTGATTACTTCTGGAAGTTTGTTTGCACAAAGGCTTTTCCGACATTGTTTACTATCCAGCATCAACTTCTTTTTGTTCTATAGTATTTTAAAAGTAGATTGTATTGAGTGTTTTGCGGTCAGGAGAGTTTGTTTACTGTTTTGTGGCCAGGACAGCGTGTTGAGTGTTTATCGGCCCTGTGGTGAGATGGCTCTGTGTTGGCAGAAGGCCCTCTTGATGGCCTCTCTCAGCAACGTGTTCCTTATGCTGTAGATAATCGGGTTCAGGAAAGGAGTCAGAGCTGAGTACAGCACCGACACGATGATACACACCTACAACAATAACACAACATTAATACAACATTAAGACAACCGCAATGCGACAATGATAACCCCCCGCACCCCAAAAAAAGTTATACATTATTATACAACAATGATACGCACCTACCTCATCAACACAATGTTATCCAACCTTATCACAACATTATTAACAGCACGACCTTGATCATATTTACCTATAAACATTTACACAGCATTATTAGGCAGGGTTGTGGTCAATTCATCCCCTGTAGCTCAGTTGGTAGAGCATGGTGCTTGCAACGCCAGGGTTGTGGGTTCGTTTCCCACAGGGGGCAAGTATGAAAATGTATGCACTCACTAACTGTAAGTCGCTCTGTATAAGAGCGTCTGCTAAATGACTAAAATGTCAAATTTAAATTCCAGTCAATTCAGGAAGTACTTTGAAATTCAAATTCTCTCCAATGCCTTTCAAATATTTTTTTTCTTTTTTTATTCATTTCACCTTTATTTAACTAGGTAAGCCAGTTGAGAACAAGTTCCCATTTACAACTGCGACCTGGCCAAGATAAAGCAAAGCAGTGCGATAAAAACAACAACACAGAGTTACATATGGGGTAATCAAAACATAAAGTCAAAAATACAACAGAAAATATATACACAGTGTGTGCGAATGTAGTAAGTTATGTAGGTAAGGCAATAAATAAATAGGCCATAGTGCAAAAATAGTTACAATTTCGTAATTAACACTGGAATGATAGATGTGCAAAAGATGATGTGCAAATAGAGATACTGGGGTGCAAATTAGCAAAATAAATAACAATATGGGGATGAGGTAGTTGGGTGGGCTTATTTCAGAATGGCTGTGTACAGGTGCAGTGATCGGTAAGCTGCTCTGACAACTGACGCTTAAAGTTAGTGAGGGAGATAAGAGTCTCCAGCTTCAGAGATTTTTGCAGTTCGTTCCAGTCAATAAGGAAAATGGAATTAGAATTGGAATTTGGTTTAATTTCCTAATTGACTGGAATTTAAATTAAATTGACCCCAACCCTGTTATTAGGATTATCACAGCCCTGCCACCATGACACAAACCAACAATGACTGAAGAGCATCAGTACAATATGCGACACACAATTAATACAACACTGTCATCTCCTGGTGGGAACCCATTTTGCATACCGGTAGATATGAACAGTGAAAAGACACAAATCAGAGGACATGTGTAACCAGAGTAATGGCACAAATATCAGTCAAACTCTTCAACTGGTGAATGTAGAATTCACAGTGTTGACTGAAGGTTGTCTGATGGCATAGTTAAACAGACATCAGAAGAAAGAAAGGGGGAGGGGGAGAAAGAGAATGAAGAGGAGGGTCACCTCTGGAGAGAAGTTTCCCACATGGTAGTAGATGTAGACGAACGAGTTGGAGCTGTAAGAGATGGACCCAACCGTCAGGTGGGCGGCACAGGTGGTGAACGCCTTCAGTCGCTGGGCGGCGCCCATTTTAGCTACTGCCACACTGATGAGCAGTGGTGGAAAAAGTACCCAATTGTCATACTTGAGTAAAAGTAAAGATGCCTTAATAGAAAATGACTCAAGTAGAAGTGAAAGTCACCCAGTAAAATACTACTTGAGTAAAAGTCTACAAGTGTTTGGTTTTAAATATACTTAAGTATCAAAAGTAAAAGTATAAATCATTTCAATTTTTTTATGTTAAGCAAACCAGCCGGCACAGTTTATTTATTTATTTTTATTTACGGCAATCCAGGGGAACACACCAACACTCAGACATTTACAAATGACGCATGTGTGTTTGGTGAGTCCGCCAGATCAGAGGCAGTAGGGATGACCAGGGATGTTCTCTTGGTAAGTGAGTGAATTGGACCATTTCCCTGTCCTGCTAAGCATTCAAAATGTAACGAGTACTTTTTGGGTGTCAGCTAAAATGTATGGAGTAAAAAGTACATACTTTTTTTTAGGAATGTAGTGAAGTAATAATATAAAAATATAAATAGTAAAGTAAAGTACAGATACCCCAAAACACTACTTAAGTAGTACTTGAAAGTATTTTTACACCACTGCCGATGTAGGAAGTGAAGATGAGCACGCCCGTGGTGAGCAGGGCTACAAGCGCAAAGGACAGTGACATTATTTTTATTTTCATTTTTTGTCATTTAGCAGACGCTCTTATCCAGAGCGACTTACAGAAGCAATTAGGGTTAAGTGCCTTGCTCAAGGGCACATCGACAGATTTTTCACCTAGTTGGCTAGGAGATTAGAACCAGCGACCTTTCGGTTACTGGCACAACGCTCTTAACCACTAAGCTACCTGCCGCCCGTGCTGACATGATACTGTCCATCTGTGTCTCCTCACACCAGCCGCCTCACTGAGGATGGGTCGCACAAGCAGTGGCGCACCACGTTGGGTCTGCAGTACGAACGCCGCGTTGCCATGGTAGTGGCCGGGAGGGTGCAGATGGCGCCTAAGGTCCACGCCCCGATGATGAGGAGCAGGCGGACGGGGCGGGTCATCACAGCGGCGTAGCGGAGAGAATTACAAATGGCCACATAGCTGTCGTAGGCCATGACGGTCAGCAGGGTGCGGTTGTTGACGGCCATCTGGATGAAGCAGTACATCTGGAGGAAGCAGCCGGGGACGGAAACAGTCTTGACCTCGGTCAGGAAGCCTGACAACATGTTGGGGATAGTGACTGTGGTGTAGACCATGTCCATGAAGGACAGGTTGTGGAAGAAGAAGTACATTGGGGAGCCCAGCTTCGGGTCGGTCTGCACCTGTAGGATGAGATAAAGAGAGGGATTAGACAGTGATGTAATAGATAGGCCCAGCAGGGAGTTTTTTCCAACAATGTGACTCGACCAGGGAATAATCTGGGCCCTTGCCATAGATCTCAAGAGTTCAAGAGTCCTGACTCCTGAGGAGTCTAGTGTAGTCTACAGGCCCTCAGTGAGCGGACCTGAAGGAAACCTTTTGATCACTTACACTTACTATAACTCCCGTTCTCTTTTATAACATAACTCTATCTAATCCTGTATTGATAAAATAAAATACAATTTAATTTGTCACATGCTTCGTAAACAACAGGTGTAGACTAACAGTGAAATGCTTGCTTATGGGGCCCTTCCTAACAATGCAGAGAGAAAAAATATAAATAAATATAAAATGACAATAATAACACGAGGAATAAATAAATAAAATAACAACACAAGGAATAAATACACAATGAGTAAAGATAACTTGTTTCAAAAATTCAAAAAAATAAATAACGGAAAAATGGTGCGTGCATATATATTCACCCCCTTTGCTATGAAGCCCCTAAATTAGATCTGGTGCAACCAATTACTTTCAGAAGTCACATAATTAGTTAAATAAAGTACACCTGTGTGCAATCTAAATGTCACATGATCTGTCACATAAAAAAATATCAGAAACTTTGAACATCCCACGGAGTAGCATTAAATCCATTATTAAAAAATGGAAAGAATATGGCACCACAACAAACCTGCCAAGCGAGGGCCGCCCACCAAAACTCACAGACCAGGCAAGGAGGGCATTAATCAGAGAGGCAACAAAGAGACCAAAGATAACCCTGAAGGACCTGCAAAGCTCCACAGCAGAGATTGGAGTATCTGTCCATAGGACCACTTTAAGCCGTACACTCCACAGAGCTGGGCTTTACGGAAGAGTGGCCAGAAAAAAGCCATTGCTTACATAAAAAAATAAGCAAATACATTTGGTGTTCGCCAAAAGGCATGTGGGAGACTCCCCGAGAACACCATCCCCACAGTGAAGCATGGTGGTGGCAGCATCATGCTGTGGGGATGTTTTTCATCGGCAGGGACTGGGAAACTGGTCAGAATTGAAGGAATGATGGATGGCGCTAAATACAGGGAAATTCTTGAGGAGATTCCAACGGAACCCATCCAACTTGAAGGAGCTGGAGCAGTTTTGCAAAAATCCCAGTGGCTAGATGTGCCAAGCTTATAGAGACATACCCCAAGAGACTTGCAGCTGTAATTGCTGCAAAAGGTGGCTCTGCAAAGTATTGACTTTGGTGGGGTGAATAGTTATGAGCGTTCAAGTTTTCTGTTTTTTTTGGTCTTATTTCTTGTTTGTTTCACCAAAAAAAAAAATCTTCAAAGTGGTAGGCATGTTGTGTAAATCAAATGATACAAACCCCCCAAAACTAAATTTTAATTCCAGGTTGTAAGGCAACAAAATAGGAAAAATGCCAAGGGGGGTGAATACTTATGCAAGCCACTTTCGCATATTCACTTAGGGGCCGATTCCGACCTGAGTTAAGCACGCCTAAATGGAACGTAATTCCCCTTTTATGCAATTTTATCTCTATACATGTTTTGACCTTTAACTTAAGCATGAGAATAGCATGCTATTCACCCGCTATTCGTTCGTGGGTGGAGATCTAAGAAATGAAGGTGTGGCGGATGTGTGTCTACAGATACGCCGTATTCTGACCTTGACTTAATTCCCTCATAATTCTACCACCTTTACGTGCAAGAAAAACATGACTAAGGTCGAGCGAACCTGCCGGTTCGAACTGGGAAAAGCATCTACTATTCTACTTTATTTTTTCCGATAACAATAACAGCATTCTCCATGCCCTGTCATTCATAAACTGATGAGAGCTATTGATAAAAGCTAGGTAAATTAGTAATCCATTTGGAGAAAGGGATTGTATACACATAGCAATTGTTTTAGATTATTTTTCCTTATGATCCCTGGAAACGAATGTGAAACCACTCATATGGAAGCAAACTGAAAATCATATCAACATGACATGTATTGTGGCCACTTTTCCTCAATGAAGTAAGCTATAAATAGCTGTGCCGTTATTCCATATTTTAATTGTGTACCCTCATAATTTGCGTGGATTAAATTTGGAGACTCAAGCTATAGACTTCTGTAAGGCTGAACCTGCCAAGTTGATGTATGCGCTTTAGAATGTTTTAATTATATACCCAGGCTTTTCTACATTTTATTTTTCTATTTGTATCATGTTAAATTTTAGCCACTATCAGGAGCCACCGTCAGTAATACCCACATACAGTTATAACTGTCACTTTAGTGTTAGTTTTCTTAAATTTGTAACTTACATTTTGCATCATTCCATTCTGAGGGTCACTAGCATTAGTGGATCATTTAGGCTAACATTGTGCAATAATTTGGGACATGTAGCCTATTTGAATCATTATGGAATTCAGACCACACATAGCAGGTTAAACCTGGAGCCTGGCGAACGGTTCACAAAGACTGGACCATTGTCATACAGTTGTACACTTCTTTCCACCTTCCAATATTTCATGGATTGAACGTGAATATGACAACTTTCAAACCACTGTTTATTTTAATGATTCATACATACTTTCCTAACCCTAAAATGTGCCTACGTAATCTACAATCTTGGTGCTGAAACAGAGATTAATATGCATATGCTTTCTTTCATTGATCCCTATTTTCTGAACCCATTATTTATATGTATTCTAGTCTGTCTACAAAATTCTAATTCAAGGTACACCATATTTACAGGGATGGCTTAAAATAAATGTACTGAAAACCCTATTGAATGAAAACTCCAAGAGAAAATCTGTTGGCCAGTGGGAGGGTTTTCAGCAGTTGAATTAAATGTAATCAGCGCACGTGCAAGGGAATCACGCCAACAAAGCCCGTTACACACCTGCATAAGGTAAGTCTGAATATCAACTACTGAGAAGTGCGTAGGAAAGGCGTGCGTAGGAAAGGTGTACATTTCCTAAGTCGGAATCGGGCCCTTAGTGTTTCCTATGGAAATATTTTCAGACAAATCCACTTGTGAGATAACTGTGAAGAACTAAATATATATGATAATTGTGCAGTAGTGGAGGTTAAACCTCTTACCTGAGTGAGTGCAGTCCCTGTTTTTCCACAGGATGATGTGAGAGGCCGAAGGCACTTACTGTTAGTTACCTAGTTAGTACATCTACAATACATTCATTAAGAACTTTCCCTGGATTAATCAAACAAGGGAAAACTTAGATGAACTCCAATGCAACGTATGTTTACAGTAAACTCCAGGTAAAGTGCATCATTATATATATTTATTATGAAAAGTAATTTAGCTACTGTATTTAACTATAATTGGTAGTGTGTGTGTGTGTGTGTGTGTATGTGTTTGCTTCTCTTGTGAGTAATTAGAACAGAACATCAGAAAAAGAGACCTAAAGGCAAATCTCAAATAACGTCCTCCACATTCAGTGTTCAAGTTTTGTGCCTAATTTGTTCTCTTGTCAAAAATTGGGAATAAGGGCTCACTTGAGACTCAGACCTTCAGATTAAACAACAGGTTTTACTCTCCCACAGACTTGTAAAATAAAATATTAGAATACCCTGCTGTAAGGTAATCTTCCCTCATGTTCTCTGGTTTTTCAGAGTTCTTGGTTGTATTCCACTGAAGACAAGTGTTAGATGCTCATGCAATGGCAACCTATGTGTGCATATAAGGACACAGATGGAGCCACAGAGTACATTTCTGAACAGGATTTGTTTCAGAATGAGGGGTGCTTTAGGTCTGCTGGTTTTTCTGTTCTGTCTGTTTGTGGCATGGGCTCAGGGAGAGAGTGGGCGGGTCACAGAGAATGACATCACTCTACAGGGCTACAGCGAACAGGTCAAGGAGCTGAGGCTGAGGAGGCAACTCACAGATAGACGAAAGACCAAACTACCACTGCTGAGATCTGGGCTGACCTGAGAGCGCTGAGAGACATGGTTGTGGAACAGGGAGTGGAGCTGAGGAACATGGAGGAGCAGGTTGAGGAGCTGCAGAGACAGAATGAAGGTAATGCACTGTTGGGATTTGAAGTAGTGTTTAATTTCGCAACCAATTTAGTCATAATGAAGATTCACATACTGATCCATGTTATTCATTTTGTTTTCCAGCTCAGGTAGCAGACTTCGAGACCAGAATGACCACCACTGAGAGAGAAAATGCGGGTAAGAATATGTGATATGTGTTAAGTAATATGTTTATGACAGGAAGGCTAACATATTTTGAGCATTGGGAAATGTGCTCCATAAATTAAATATGATTACTATTATATTTTGTTTAAAATGGTTAAGTTTGTCCATGTTTCTCTCCATTGCAGCCGTATAGGGCAGATTGAGCGCAAGTGAGAGCCAGGTAGATGAGCTGAAGAGAGAGAATGAAGGTAAAATTACACAAACTTGAGTTAGGCCTATATAAACCACTTCAACAGTGTAATTTGTATTGTTTTCCAAAAATATTTAGAAGGATAGAAATTATTAGTTTATAAACTTTGTTCTAATCTAATATTTGTGATGGGTTTAGAGAAATGTTAACCAACTTTACATTCAGTTTGCAGGTTGTTACAATAATCACTGCTGGCACCGTTTATATTTAGGTGCGGGAAATCTGCAATACATTTTAGCTTATATTCTATAACAGGTGAAGGAACTAAAGTACTAGAAAGTCAAGCACTGACATTACTGTATGTTTTTATAAAATGTTGAAGGAAAAGTCAAGCTTCAGCAACTGAGGATGATGTTTGTAAATTACAGCAATTCGGGTAAATGTCTGTCAGTGTACTCTCTCTCCTGTCGTCACAGACAGACCAAGGTGGCATTTTCTGCTGCTCTGGCTGATTCGGGAAGAATAGGCCCCTACAATTATGACCACACACTGAAATACCAAAAAGTCCTCACTAACATCGGCAGTGCTTACAGTACAGCTACAGGTACTGGCTACACCAATCTACATGGGCACGTATCCACGGGGGCTCGCTACAGTCTAATAATACTGATAGTTTACTTCCCCCTGCTTTTCCTGGGATGCAGGTATATTCACAGCACCAGTGAAAGGAGTCTACTACTTCAGATTCACAGCCATGGATGCCTGCCACTCTGAAACAATGGGTGTGGCCTTGTTTAAGAATAACCAGCAGATAAAATTCAATGGGGGTTACAACAATGAAGAAAGTCAGGAGTATCTAACCAATGGAGTCACTCTGCTGCTTGGGCAGGGAAATGAAGTGTACATGCTTCTCCTCTCAGGCATGGGGCTTTATGATAGTTCAGCTAACCACTGCACCTTCACTGACTTCCTGCTTTTCACTATGTGATGCTGCAACCTGGACTCAGGGGTAGACGTAACATAGTAAACGAGAACGAGAAACATAACATATCATCATTCTAATTTGAGTTTCCCGGATTTTCGTTTACTATGTTACGTGTAGTCTATGAGACCAGGCTGGATTGGAATACTGGTAGTTCTGTAATGACATCAAGGGTCCTCTTGAGGATCCTCTTGGATTACTTTACAGGTAATAAAGAAATTATAAAGCAAGGGCATTTTGTTGTTTTTCATAGATGACACATATACACTTAAGAATATAGCTATAGAGGCCTCCTGAGTGGCGCAGCGGTCTAAGGCACTGCATCGCAGTGTTACTGCTTCACTACAGCCTGGGGTTCGATCTTGTGTTATTACCGGCCTTAACCGGGAGTCCCATAGGACAGCGCACTATTGGCCCAGCGTTGTCCGGGTTAGGCTCATCACACTCTAGCGACTCCTTGTGGCGGGCCGGGCGCCTGCAGGCTGACTTCGGTCATAATTTGAACGGTGTTTCCTCCGACACATTGGTGCAGCTGGCTTCCGGGTTAAGTGAGCGGGTGTTAAGAAGCATGGCTTGGCGGGTCATGTTTCGGAGGACGCATGATGATGAAGATTTTTCAGTGGACTATAGTTGGATCTTTTCAGACTCAGTAAACTATAGGGCTGTTATGGCTGTTTCTTCTCTTTTCATCTGACCTGTCTTTGGGTCAAATTCCTCGCTCCTCCCTAATCCACGGCTGTCCGGCCTTATCAGTGACTGAAACCAGACTGTTGCCCGTTGACTCTCTCCTTAGGCATATTCCTGGAACGGAGCCAGGGTTGAACAGAGTTCAGACTAAACATGGTTAAATCAGAGCATGATGGGGGGTGGGACAAAGTGGTACAGAGGGAGGAGGCTTGTTTAGGTTTGAGAGATTGATTATGGACCTGCCATGTTTTAAGCCATGTTTAAGTATCGATTGATAGGTTTGGGAATCAATTAGGGGGTCAGAACGGAGCCAGGAAAGGGCTCTGGTATTTTTGCATGACAGGGCTTGGTCCCACCACTATTGTTTCCAGACACGGAACTAGAAGGGAGGGAAGTCAGATACCGCCATTGAGGAAGTGGGTGGAGCGGACAAGAGGTGAAAACTGGAGACAGTGGTGGAGGAACCAAAGAGGGAGGGATTAAGCTAAAATGTATGTAAAATGACTATATAAACTGAGAGCTGAGAGGTGGAAAGTTGGATGCTCTGCAGACCACCTCGGCTATATTGATTGTAATAAAGTATATCTTAATTCTACAAAAACTCTGAAATACTTTGTGTTTGAGTGAGAACAAAGACAATTTTCTACAACAATGACTCGGCCTTCGCCTCTCACGACACCGTTGGGGGAGTTGCAGCGTTGAGACAAGATCGTAATCACGAAATTGGGGAGAAAAAGGGGGCAAAAGTTACACACACAAAAAAAGAATATAGCTATAATTACAGTAAAATGTCTGTTTTGGAAGAAAGAGAGAACATAAAGCAAAGTATATATATAAAGAGGTAGAAAGAAGCAGACTGACAGACAACCAGAAAGGGAAGGAAGGAGTGAGAGAGGGAGCAGATTTCTGAGTCAGCAGATCAGGCTGTGGTGGTAATCAAGGCAGAAATGCAGCATAGCTGTTTCTCCTCCTTTGGCACCCTCTGCTAAGACTGAATCAGAGTTAAGGACTAAGCAAGAAACGCTGAGAACCACCTCAAGGTCGAAATCCCTCTCACAGAGTGGCATGATGATTTAAAACACCAATTCAATAGAACTGCAGAGAGTTAGACAAATTACAGGAGCACTGACCCTCTCTCAACACCTTGACAGCCTGATTTAACATGGATCTTCATTAGAGAGATGGAGATTTAAATAACTTATTGAGGCGGTGACCTGTATCTGAGCTATATGACAGAATTATTTAGAAGGGTAGGTCTAGTTCTGGGAACGCTTAGTGAATCTTAAAACCTGTATACCTCTATTTGGATGTGGTGGGGGAATGAATCTGAAGGGTAGTTCACTTGTAGGTAACTATAGCTCTGTGTCTGCCATGAGGAGGGCCACACACAACCACAGCATAGGAACCACTCAATAGAGTTCACTGCACACTACACACAAGTCACGTTTTAGTCAGTCTGTAGCCTGACTAAAGAGAGAGAGAGAGAGTGAGAGAGAGAGAGAGAGAGAGAGAGAGAGAGAGAGAGAGAGAGAGAGAGAGAGAGAGAGAGAGAGAGAGAGAGAGAGAGAGAGAGAGAGAGAGAGAGAGAGAGAGAGAGAGAGTAAGCCAGCGAGAGAAGGGGTGGCTGAGATAAAGAGAAACAAGGAGAGTGGCGTTTGCCATAACCCCATTAACCTGTGGCAGCATGCAGTGTGTGAGGTCAATAGGTGTGCATGTGTGTTTGTTTTGTGTGTGTGATACAGAGGGCAAAAGGGCTCTGTGATGGTTAATGTGATTTTAATTAGCAGGTCAAGTGTGTTCATGTTGACACTGCCCCTATTTGTCTCCACCAGAGAATGATCAATGCAGACCCCTTGGGGCCATCACCTCTCTTAATGAGCTACTGTTTTACCTCAAACACACTCACGCACACACACACACACCCTAAGGACTTCACACGCTGCATGCCGCCCCAGGTTAACACTCAAACACTTACTCACATTATACCCACCGACACAAAGATAGAAACTGTATTTTGTAATAGGCACACAAACACAACCACAATGTTATTCTGTTATTCCCTGCGGCAGAAGAATGTGTTGTTGGTAACAATGTTATAATGACTGTTGATATGAGCTTGGAGGTGATGAGACTCAATCAGTGTAGATGAAGGGGAGAAGACAGGTTAAAGAAGGACTTTTAAGCATTGAAACAATTGAGACATGGATTGTGTATGTGTGCCATTCAGAGGGTGAATGGGCAAGACAAAAGATTGAAGTGCCTTTGAACGCGGTATGGTAGTAGGTGCCAGGCACACCGGTTTGAGTGTGTCAAGAACTGCAACACTGCTGGTCTTTCCACACTCAACAGTTTCCTGTGTGTCTCAAGAATGGTCCACCACCCAAAGGACATCCAGCCTGCTTGGCACAAGTTTGGGAAGCATTGGAGTCAACATTGGCCAACATCTCTGTGGATCGCTTTTGACAACTTGTAGTCCATACCCCGACGAATTGAGGCTATTCTGAGGGCAAAAGGGTCTGAAACGCAATATTAGGAAGGTGTTCCTAATATTTTGTACACTCAGTTTTCATCATTCCTCATTCTACACGACAGAGAATCCATCATGTTGTTCTATAGCATGCGTGCTCAAACCTTTGGCCTTGTGAGTGAAATGCATCAGAAAGGTATTGGAAAGTTCAGGAAAACATCAGGAAAGCCAATCAGGTAATAATTGTGTCTGTAAAAAAAAGTTTGGCATTGCTTTCTGCGTCACTTCTAACGTCTCCTGTGCTGCTGGTGGATGTTGTACAAAGAAATAGATGTACGTGTCCCTGAGAGTCTTACCTTTCAGGAATGAATGGGGTCTTAATTGGTAAAAGCTCCAACTCGTTCAAAAGCTAGATTCAAATTTGTAGGAAGAAAACAGAAACCGCTCTGTTTGTTCCAACTGCATTTAGCGGATATCAGAGATTACTCAAGTAATCGCGGTTATATGAACTAAGCGATTACTGTATTTAAAAAAATTAATCTGGATCCTTCTGGCGGGCCACAGATTGGTCGGCACTGTTCTATAGAAGACATTTACTACTATAGCCCTTAAAAACACATTGAATAACACATTCGTAAATGACAAGAAAGACAGTCCAAAAATAAATAATAAGAGGTGTGAATACTCTCTGAAGGCACTGTATTTAACCCCTTATTTTTGTTGGCACAAAACTACCTTCATACTTCCATTCATTTGTATGGGTTATCTTCAGACGAGTCCCGTGACACTTGTGGGGGTCATAGAGCAAAACGGAGAACACCATTGTGTTCTTTCCATTGAGTAGTCATATTAGTTAGTAAGCCACTGTTCGGACACTACAGATGTTTTTGTGAGAAGACTGATTTTCGTCTCCTGGTCTGACAAACAGTGCTGTAGATCTGCCACTTTCCACCACAGATGCGGAAGGGCAACAAAGGCGTATGCGGTGGATTGAGATACAGCCATGCAAAAAACGGATATCTCTAGCTTAAACTGACCAATTTGGGATTTTTTTATTATGTTCATTAGATTGACGCACGGGTCAATAGACGCTTACAAATTATAAGCGGTCCAGTTCAAAGAGTCGTTGTCATCGTGAGCAGGATTAGTGTCTGAGGGAGATTACCCTTGTACCGTCACTACAGGACTCTCCGAAGGGTTATAAAGTTAAGATTAAATTGCTTTTACCAATTCATTCACAAAGCTCTAATGATGTTAAAGGGTTATTGGATTACACTACTACATGTCCTAATTTAGCTTCATGCTTGTTCTCTTCCATGTATCCTGTCCTATTCCTCACAACTGGAATGTATGAGTGTATTACAGTATTCCTTTCCCATTCATGGCTCACTCTGAAATGTTTGCCTGGGGTTACAAAGTGAAAAAAGTCAGATGGTTTTGAAAAGTATAAAAAATTCAATACATTTAATGGCGTGGTTGCACATATGCAATATGCATTTTGGATTCTTCTTTATGGTACAAAACAGATGATAAACATCGGATACATTAGTCTTAAGCATGGCCCATACCTATTATTTTAGCATTGTCATACTATACCGTATCTACACATCAAGTCTTCAAAAGTGTCAAGTGAGCACTCAAAGAAAGTGTGCACTTATAAAGTGCTGTGATTCCCATGCAGTGACTGGCAGGCCTGAGAAGTACACTTAAAAATACAATTGTCCAATGACACACAGTCCATATGGAGTGTACTAGATTTTTCACATACAGTAAAAGAACAGAGAGCGGTAAAAATTATATTAATACAAAAAAAGAGCGTGTGTGTGTGTGCGAGCGTGTGTGTGTGTGTGTGTGTGTTTGTGCGAGCGTGTGTGTGTGTGTGTGTGTGTGTGTGTGTGTGTGTGTGCGAGCGTGTGTGTGTGTGTGTGTGTGTGTGTGTGTGTGTGTGTGTGTGTGTGTGTGTTTGTGCGAGCGTGTGTGTGTGTGCGTGTGTGTGTGTGAAGAAGAGGACTGGCCATCCCTCAGAGCCTGGTTCCTCTGCAGGTTTCTTCCTAGGTTCCTGCCTTTCTAGGGAGTTTTAGCCACCGTGCTTCTACATCTGCATTGTTTTCTCTTTGGGCTCTTTGGGGTTTTAGGCTGGCTTTCTGTTTAAGCACTTTGTGACCACTGCTGATGTAAAAAGGGCTTTATAAATACATGTAACTGATTGTTTGTGTGTGTGTGTGTGTCTATAATAGTCTCCTGGTGGCAGAATAATTGCTTTGACTCCATTCCACAGATTACGTTTGTTCCTGTCTCCCCTACAAATACTTTAGACTCACATAGAAAACATATTTATGGTGGCGACACTGTGATGAGGTGTGAATGACGGAGTCAGGCGCAGGAGGTAAAATACCGAAATCCAGAGTTTATTCAGTGTACATTAATAAAGCGCAGCAAGCTTCAAAACGAAACTAGCACAAGGGAAAAATCCACCTTGGCTACATACAAGGAAAGAATAGCTCAACCGAGCTACTCACTCTCACAATTAACAATCACTCACAAAGGACAACGGGGCAGAGGGAACACTTATACACAGACTAATGAGGGAATGAGTACCAGGTGTGTGTGATTGACAAGACAAGACAAATGGAGTGATGATAAATGGAACGGTAGTGGCTAGTAAGCCGGTGACGACGAACGCCGAAACCTGCCCGAGCAAGGAGGAGGGGCAGCCTCGGCTGAATTCGTGACAGATACAGAGAAACTGCCAAGTTCCCCACCTCTGTATCAAGAGATCAATTAAGTCTCTTCCTCACAGCCTTGGAACATAAACAGCTAGTATACTAGGTACAAAAACACATTTCCACATACACAGTATCTCCTTGGAGTAGGATAAAGTTGCCATTAGAAACTGATCTAAGGTCTGTTTGGGATCCCCCTTAATGGTCAAGGTCAGTATTTGGGAAGGGTATGATCTGATCCTAGATCTGTGCCTAAGGGCAACTTGTACCCAGAGCCTTCTCCCTCTTCTCTCTGCACATGCTCAGACGGCCTTGCCCATGATGAGGAGGCTCATGAGGAAGACCATGATGAAGAAGAGCCACATGAAGAGTCGGTCCATGACCTTGGCCACCTTCCTCCACTCACCCGTACGTCTCTGCGTGGAGCGCTGATCATGGTAGCAGTTGGCGATGTACTCGATGTTCCTGCGTAGCGCCTGGTGTTGACACACACACTGGGCTCTCACCACCACCTCCCTCCTACCCCTAGCCTCTGCGCCTCCTAATGATCCTTTCCTTTTTTCTTCACCCTCTCCCATACAGCCTCTCTCTCCTGCTCCTCTTGCATCTCCTCTCTCTCCTCCTCCACCTTTGCCTCTTTCTGCCTCCACTGCTCCTCCCATGCACCCACTTTCTCCTTTGATACCCTTCTCTTTTTCTGCCTCTCCTCCTCCTTCTTTCTCACCTCCTGCTGCTCCATCCTCCTCCTCCTCTCCAGCATCTATACTCACAAACAGGTCGTCATTCCACCAGCTGGGCTCAAACGTTTGGTATGAGCCTCTTTTCACATCCAGTCTATCCCCCTCCTCTTTCTCTTCCTGTGTCTCTACGCCCACCCCAGCCCCTTCCTCTCCACCCCTCCCTCCCATGCCTCCCAAGGACTGCCCGTTCACATCCCAGTTGGTACTTCTGGTTTGGGGGTTGATATTGTGGTCAGGTGAGGGCTCAGGGGGGGCCCGTTTCTTGGGGGTGCCGGTGAAGCAGTTCTCTCCCACCTCGTAGACAAAGCAGATCCGTGCCAGGTAGTGCAGGATGAAGCGGCGGGCCCACTCAGGGACGGGACGCGCCTCAGGACCACAGTGATGGATGTTCATGATGAAGATGGTCAGGGCGGTCGACGCAGTGATCATCGTCATGGTAGCAATGTAGTACTTGCCTGTGGGGAAGTAGTGATCAACAATACAATTGATTCCATGTATTACAACTCTCACACATTCAAACATAATCATCCTTATTCAATGTAATGGAGTACATTGGCTTACATAACATCATTGCCTTCAGGATTCTAGACAGTGATAAGTAGACAGACAAGCATAATTGCTCCACAGAGGGAAGACAAAGTATAGGTTATCGAGTTGTGATCGCGGCACATTAAATTATCTGGACAGCCACTATCGACTGGCCTCTGTACCATTACATCAACATTATCCCACAAACACCAACACAATTTACTACAGCAGCTCTCAAAACCCATCTACCTTTGCAAAGAGTATCTTTAATAAGACATCTCAGTCTCTCTCCCCAATCCCCCCAAAGAAAATGTGCTTGTCCTTTCCTACTTTGCTGATAACTTCTTTATTGAGGAAAAATGTACTTACTATGACTGTGATATGTGGTTGTTTTCCTAGCTATCTTAAGATGGATGCACTAACTGTAAGTCGCTCTGGATAAGAGTGTCTGCTAAAAAACTAAAATGTAAAATGTAAGCACACACCACCACTATAACTAGACTCAGTCCTGTGCTGAAATACAACTGCAAAAATGACTACTTCACTTTTATTTTACTCTGCATGCATTCCAATGTTGATTCAAAATGCATAAGCACTTTTTGCTTGTCCCTATACTATTTCGCAATAAAATATGGAATAATATATTGAATAAACATACAAAATATGCTTCTTCAGTATTCATAAGGTCTCCCTGCTCTGTATCACATCTCATCTATAGCCAGGCAGTTAAATGGAGCTGCAGAGAGGATGTTGTGCTGAGTAAGACCCATTAAATATTTACTAAGCATCTCTGCCTGTGAGTTTATGGGAGAAGATCTTGAAAAGTCTCTGAGGAGAGCTAGTCAGTCTCAGTTAGTGTTGGAGAAGGAGATAAAATGTCCTGAAAAGCCCAGAGGAGAGCATATATTCTCTCTGATTGCTGTACTCATGGCAAACTGTTTCTCTCGCCGTTTCTCAATCTCTTTCTCTCCCTTCCTCTTCCATCACTTTCTCTCTCCACCCATCTCTCACTCTAACACCCCCCAGCCTGCTCCCACCCCCCTCTCACCTATGAGTGGTACGTTCTCCGAGGGTGGCATGCTCTCTGCCACCAGCAGCTGGAATACGGTCAGGGCCAGCAGCACGGTGACCCCCAGGGACACTTTCTCCCCAGAGTCAGCTGGCAGGTAGAAGCCCAGCGGGGCCAGGAAGGAGATCATCATACAGGGGATGAGCAGGTTAAAAATGTAGAAGGAGGCCCTGCGTTTCAGGTGCAGGGTGTAGGTGATGTCTGGGTAGGGGTCTGAGCAGCAGCCGTACAGGATCACGTTCTTCTTGGCTGGCATGCCCAGAACCTGTTGTTAGGATAGCATGGAATAGAATAGAAATGCGTGGCCTGTGGTGGTCTAGCAGTCTAAGAATACAGGTACTTTGAACCTCTGCCAGCATGGGTTCAAATCCGACCCACTCCTCTTTCAGCACACTCCTCCTATCTCTGTCTATCCTATCCAATAAACATACAAAATAAAATACATGTATTGTGCATTGTTGAATAGAAACTATGGAAACAACTAGATAAGACAGTCTTATAAATGCAAAAGTGTTTTCAATCAATAAAGTGCAAATAGGGAATACAGTTCAGGCTTTGCCCGTATAAATAGCAGCAAAAGCACTGCTATAAATTGCAAAATAAACTAATCAATCTGACCTCCCACTCTACGTTGGCCACGAAGTCAGCCAGGTCAGCGCTGTCCAGGGCGTTGACCAGGTCCATCTGGTTGCCGTTGTGTGTCCAGGAGCCGAAGGTTAGGCGACACTGCTGGGCATCAAACGGGAAAAAGGACACATCCACGGAGCACGAGCTCTTAGTGATGGCCGGCTGGTCCCACATGATCTGTCCATCGTCACGGATCACCACGTTGGTCTCCATGGAGCTGGAGAACTGGTCATCAGCACTGAGAGGGGGAGAGGAAGGCGAGAGGAAGGGAAAGTGTATGAGTGAGAGGGGAGATTGAGGGGAGAAGGAGGAGTATAGAGGGAGGATAGAGGGGGGAGTTTATGGGGGAGAAGGAGGGCAGGGATGGTGGGAGGGGGAGCGATGGAGGGAGGAAGGAAGAGGGAGAGAAGAGGCAGAGTGTGTGAGGAATTCATTGGTGAACAAAGAAGGCAATTCAAAGCATAGAACATGTGTTCTTATCTACAATAGATATGAAAGAAAAAGAGAAAAGGTATACTTACCGTCAAGTCACTAAAGACTCTTTAGAGGAGTGACTGAGAAAGGACCGAGGGCAGAAATGGAGGGAAGGAAGATGGGCATGGAGTGTCTAATGACCTAATGACAGATTGAGACAGATAGACACAGACAGACAGATAGATAGATAGAGGCAGACTGATACAGTTAAAGGCAGATGGAGCGGTTAAAGAGGCAGATGAGAGGGTTAATGACAGTTAACGACAGGAAACCTGAATGACTCACAGAGAGATAAAGGATGTCATGATGGTCAGGCACGATGACCGAAAGATGATTGCCGGGGCGCAAGGAGAGTGGGGAGGGGAGGGGTGGAGCCCTCCTCTCAGAGCCCACTCCTACACTCAGAAATCTCACTACACTTCTGACCTTCATCACAGGGACTGGACTGAACTTAGAACTTTAATAGTTACCACCCTAAAAGTTAGAATCTTCTCAGAAACCAAAGCTTAGGAACTGAATCTGCATTCTGTGGCATCCCCCTACTAGCAACCATCCTCCAACAGGGATCCGGTATTTAAACAGGTAGAGTGTTAGCTCAAGTAGGGGATTATTGTGAGTCTCATGTAACACACAACCCTCACACCTGTCTAGATATTTCCTGGAAAAAGGATATAGAAATACTCCAAGTCAAGCCCGTTGTATTAGGATTACTGATTCAGTTGTATGTTGTAATAACAACAAAGGCAGATTAAAATATAACAAGACTGTGAAAAAATGAAGAGCAGGATTATTCCACTAATACAGTGTTTGCCAATGCAAAAAGAATAAAGAGAAAACCCGTGCATCTAGATCCGGGTGCTGGTTTGGGCAGGAACAACTAGTATCCCAAAACATGTGTTAAATCCGCAAACTAGAAAAGACAGGCGACCAACCTTGACTTTAGTTCTATTGATTTTTCATTTCAGGTTGAAAAATGAAAAATGAATGGAAATCAAGGTCAGTTGTCTGTCTTTTCTAGTGTGCAGTTTTTACAGTTGTTTTTGGAGAGTGTTTCCCAACTGTGGGTCAGGGTCCATTGGTGGGACAGGGCTGGTATCTACTGGGTTATGGATTAAGACTTGATTCTTGCTAGAAACACTGTCAGTGTTGAATTGGCACATTGCAACAATTAAATACTTGAAAGGCTTTAGGTGGCCAAAATCATAAGAAGTGCCAGGAGATTTTCCTGACCACGTAGCCTAACCAGGACAAACCCTGGCACTAGTCATGGTGCAACAACAACAAACTACTGCTCCAATACACTGTGATGAGCATCAGAAGTAGACTGGTTGCCTGGACACCCCGTGAGTAACAGCTTTTAGGGTGTCCAGCTTGTGTCCATGGCAACACAACAGGAATTTGATGATGAGGGTGAAGAAGAGGATTATGAGGAAGAGGACAACAAACCCATGCAGGGAGAACCGATGTGTCTCAATACCAGCCAGACCTACTTGTTATATAGGACAATATCAGGCCTCCATACATAACTACTAGGTATGCGGATGGTATCGAGACCATCGTAGTCCTCCTTCTTCCAGGTGAGGTAGGCGTCCGTCCACACCTGCCGGATCCACAGGTACGTGGTCAGGATCTGGTTACGCTCATCCTGTATGGAAAACACACACAGGTAGAGAGACAACAGGTACTAAAACACACAGGTCCAATGACTACAGGTAATGAAAACATACAGAAATGGTAGAGTATCAGAGGAGGCTGGGGTGTGCATGTGATGTGGGGACATCGTGGTGACCTTGTGCATGTGTTTGTGTGTTTACCATGTCGATGATTTGTGAGAGGGTGATCTGCAGTGTGACATTGATGATGTGGTCCGTGTCCTCCACCGGTCTTAGAGCGTTGGTGTAGTTAGCGAACAAATCAGTCAGCAACTTCTGAGCATACCTCCCATGAGCACCAAGACACACTGCCACACAGAGAGAGAGAGAGTGGATGGGGGAGAAGGAGAGAGAGAGGGGGGAGAGGGAGAGAGAGATTATATTATTCAATATTCAAATCCAAGTCTCAATTTCTCAAAGGAATGGGAAAAATTGGCTCTGCAGTATCCCAGCTCGATTAACCTAAGAGCGACCTTGGAATCCACTTAATGATGTCCAGTCATTTGATAAGCTGATCCCAAAGCTACGTGTCTGTCTGGTCCTGCATGCATAACTCACTACAGCCATTACATTTGATAATGTTACAGTATCTTTTGGTTAGGCTTCTTCCTATATGTAAGCACATTTAAGGTCTTGCCCTTTTGTGTGCTTGCCCTTTAACTGCAGGGTCACTGGTACAAGCCCTGCTCCAGGTGTTCCCCCTTAATCGCTGCATTGATGGAACTGGTGGGATAATCCTGCAGTCTCTTAAGCCTTTCTTGGAACGGTTCCTGTTGGGGTTTGGGCCAGCTTCTTGAGGCCCCGTAATATTTGGAATTGGTTTGGCAAGAAACACACAAACAATGCAATGGCAATACTCATGTTTATAAACCTCATGTACATTTTTAGACAGAGGGTGAGAGAGAAAGTGACGAGGGAGATGGAGACAGAGAAAGGGGAAATATTAGAGAGATAAACAGGGAGAAGTAAACGTGAAAAGGATAAGAAGATTAAGGGGTGACATTAGGGTGAAGGGAGGAATGAGAGAAAGGGTTGGAGGAATGGAGGGAAGGAGTTAATTACTGAACGCACTGGAGAGAAACGCTGGATATATGTGAGAGAAGGGAGGAGAGGGGGAGAGGGGAAGGAGAGGGGGACAGAGGGAGATAAGCGGAAAGTTAATTACAAACAGTAAATGAGATAGTGTCCATCTAGAGCTGCTAAATCCCTGTCCATTCACTTCCTACTGCAGACAGCACAGCGCAGCACAGCCACACCCTGTGTTGCACTACACCCCCCTGTGCAGAAAGTTACACACACTCAGTGCCTCTACACCTACTACTGCCAAACATTATAGGCACTCAATTTCAAACAATGCATGTGTGTGTGTGCATGTAACAAAGCTGTGTGTGTGCCTGTAGTGTGTGTGTGTGTGTGTGTGTGTGTGTGTGTGTGTGTGTGTGTGTGTGTGGTGTGTGTGTGTGGTGTGGTGTGGTGTGCGTGTGTGTGCGTGGCGAGAGAGAGGAGAGACGAGAGAGAGTAGAGAGGAGGAGTGAGAGGACGGAGAGGAGAGAGAGATGAGAGAGAGAGAGAGAGAGAGAGAGAGAGAGAGAGAGATGGGACAAACACCAACAATATCCTCTGTGTACAATGCAAAACACCAAATAATGCATGCACATCAGAATTAGGCCGATACCCGCTAATTATCAAAATCCAGAAAAGAGCTGTTAAATTCTACAACCACCTAAAAGAAAGCGATTCCCAAACCTTCCATAACAAAGCCATCACCTACAGAGAGATTATCCTGGAGATGAGTCCCCTATGCAAGCTGGTCCTGGGGCTCTTGTCACAAACACAAACAGAGCCACAGGACACCAACACAATTAGACCCAACCAAATCATGAGAAAACAAAAAAATAATTACTTGACACATTGGAAAGAATTAACAATAAAACAGAGCAAACTAGAATGCTATTTGGCCCTAAACAGAGAGTACACAGTGGCAGAATACCTGACCACTGTGACTGACCCAAAATTAAGGAAAGCTTTGACTATGTACAGACTCAGTGAGCATAGCCTTGCTATTGAGAGAGGCCGCTGTAGGCAGAACTGGCTCTCAAGAGAAGAAAGGCTATGTGCACACTGCCCACAAAATTAGGTGGAAATTGAGCTGCACTTCCTAATCTCCTGACAAATGTATGACCATATTAGAGACACATATTTCCCTCAGATTACACAGACCCACAAAGAATTCGTAAACAAATCCAATTTTGATAAACTCCCATATCTATTGGGTGAAATACCACAGTGTGCCATCACAGCAGCAAGAATTGTGACCTGTTGCCACAAGAAAAGTGCAACCAGTGAAGAACAAACACCATTGCAAATACAACCCATATTTATGTTTATTTTATACTTTAACTATTTGCACATCGTTACAACACTGTATATAGCCATCATATAACACTTGAAATGTCTCTATTCCTTTGGAACTTTTTTGAGCGTAATGTTTACTGTTCATTTTTATTGTTTATTTCACTTTTGTTTATTATCTATTTCATTTGCTTTGCCAATGTAAACATATGTTTCCCTAGCCAATAAAGCCCTTTGAATTTAATTTCATTGAGAGAGAGAGAGAGAGATAATTGAATTGAATTAAGAGAGAGAGCGAGAGAGAGAGAGAGAGAGAGAGAGAGAGAGAGAGATAGAAAGAGAAAGCGAGAAAGAGAAAGCGAGAAAGAGAAAATAGAGGGAGAAAGGGGGATGGATTTAGTTAGAATAACAGACTTGGTGTGGCCTTGAGTGGATTGCTGGCCTGATTACCCATCTGCAGTACTGTACATGTGTGAATGTCATAGAGCCTCATTAATATTCTGTACATTCAACATGTATTGCATGTCAACCAACAAGAGTACTTGGCTAAAGCACCAACAACATCTGTCAACCAGGCCATCACTGTAAGCCTACACCCTCATCACATAGCATTCATCCCATAACATTTATACATTTACATTTTAGTCATTTAGCAGATGCTCTTATCCAGAGCGACTTAATGTTAGTGATTGCATAAATTTTTTATTTTTTATTTATTTCATACTGGCCCCCCGTGGGAATCGAACCCACAACCCTGGCGTTGCAAACGCCATGCTCTACCAACTGAGCTACATCCCTGGCAGCCATTCCCTCCACTACCCTGGACGACGCTGGGCCAATTGTGCGCCGCCCCATGGGTCTCCCGGTCGCGGCCGGCTACGACAGAGCCTGGATTCGAACCAGGATCTCTAGTGGCACAGTGCCTTAGACCACTGCGCCACTCGGGAGTAACCTCAACCCCTATCCCCTAGCCCATAACTAGACCAAAAACTCTGGGTCCTTGTTGTAGCTCATTACGACTAGGTTCCACAGTTTTCCCTGGTCACGTAACACAGTAAGCAGCAGTGTTAAGGATTGGTGGGTTGGCTCTGGGTAGTTACGTTGCCTCTAAGTTTAACCTGTGTTGTAATAACATATCAAAGAGTGGAGACCCCCTTATATGTTACTGTATGTTCAGGTGCAAGAGCGGTTCTTCACCATTGAACCTGTAAGTAGGCTACCTTAGACTGTTTAGCATGTAAGCTGACCAGATGCGGCTAAGTTTGGCTAAAGTTAAAGGGATAGTTCACCACTAAATCAATGTTTGTCAGATGTTGTCATACTTCAAAAGTGATCTAAAGTCCACTCATTATTCCACACCATCTTCTGTGTAGATCACACATTCAGAAAAATCTCTACACCTCAAATCCAAATGAATGGAATCTAATTCCAGCGTTATTGGGGTTGAACTATAACCCTTTGTCTGTACAGTTGGTGCAGCGTTATACAAGGAACTTACTGTCCTTGATCAAGTTCCTGAACGTTACCCCAACTGATCCATCATCAGTGACACAGAGGGGGGAAGTCTTTTTTGACACCATGGGGTCTCTTTCTAATAGCCTATACATTTAGCCTAAAAAAGTACAGGAGGGACATTATGGCTCCTTCACAGTGCTCTTAAGGACTTGAGTAGCTACTCCATCATTTTCTAATCCATATACTGTGGTGTGTGTTGCCATAAGTCATGAGGCATCAGACATCTGTGAGTAGCTTCTTCAGTCTGCTGATTCATAGATTGTATTTATTTGTCCTGCCTTCGGAGCCTATAAACTCGGCATAAGAATGTGAGATTTACCTTGACAGTGTCACCTATAAAAGTTAAAAATAGTTCTAGCCTCTATACAGAAAGCTCTAACTGTGTATCTGTCTCAGTGTGACTGTGAGTGCATGTGTGCGTTGCTTAATGGTTGGATGCCCTTCAACGTCTCACACAGTGTGCAAAATGGCTTGTTGCTCTAATGCTGTGTGTGTGTAATAATGTACTAGTAATACTTACTTTGAGATTCTCTAATTATGTCCACCTGTGTGTGGCCTGTATTGTTTTCGTGACATTGATTGCCATTGCCTCCTATGCACACTGAAGAAGGTCTTACACCCAAAACGTTTGGCGACAATAAAAATATGTTCATTTAAGTTTATTCACCGGAGTGCTGTCCTATTTTTGTTCTGTGTAATAATGTGTACAGCACACAGAGTGGTTCATTAACATGTTTATCTGCTTCTGAGTTCAGTCAGTACCCCGTCAGCAGCTCACTGGCTGTCATAGCCCCATTCTCTCTCAGACCAGCTCAGCATCCATCCATCTGTGTTCCAGTATAAAGTGCTGCAGCCACACTGCAGAGGGCTGCTGTCCCACTACTGCATTCACTGGACCACAGCTTTTCTCTCTATCTGAGGAGGCAGAGAGAGAAGACGAGGAGGAAGAGAGAAGAGAGAGAGGAGAGAGAGAGAGAGAGAGAGACGAGATAGAGAGATGAGAGGAGAGAGAGAGAGATCGAGATGCTATAGATATCTCGAGATATCTCTGCTCTCTCTCTCTCTCTCTATCTCTCTCTCTCTCTATCTTCTCTCTACGCTCTCTCTCTCTCTCTCTCTCTCTTCTTCTCTCTCTCTCTCTCTCTATTTCAATTTAAGGGCTTTATTGGCTAGGGAAACATATGTTTAAATTGCCAAAGGGAGTGAAATAGACAATAAACAAAAGTGAAAAAAATAAAAGATTAACAGTAAACATTACACTCACAAAAGTTCCAAAAGAATAAAGACATTTCAAGTGTCATATTATGTCTATATACAGTGTTGTAATGATGTGCAAATAGTTAAAGTACAAAAGGGAAAATAAATAGCCTCCTCCCTAAGTTTGAGTTATTCACAGCGTTAGCACACTCCGCCAACCCTGATGTTCTAGCAGTGTCTGA